TGGCACAGTGCAGTGGTCAAGATGGACTTTGAGCCACACTGTGGGGCTGGAGTCCGGCTCCTGCACTGGCCGGCTCTGACCTCGGAGCCTGTGGCCTGCAGAGCTGAGCTGTCTGTCCCAGCCGGCCCTGCTGCAGGCACACCGCCTCACGTTGCTCACCAGCTGCTGCCGGCGGCCATATGTGAGGTTCCAGGGCTCCCCAGGCAGGTCCTGGCGTCCGGCTGAGGAGGCATGACTCCTCCACCTCTGCCCTCCTGGCTGTGCCGACCGGAAAGTGCTTCTGTAGCTCGTGGCAGCCTCCCAGGCTTCCAAAGCGGGAGAGTCACCAGGCTGGCATGGGCCAGTCACAGGATGAGAACACTCTGGTCCTTGGTCTGGGGTTTGGGGCGGCCTCTTGCTTCCCTGAGTCCGTTTCCTTGCTGGCCACCTCTCCCTGCAGCACCGGGCCGCGCGGTCGGCCGGTGAGCCAGCAGCTGGGTGCTTGGGTTTGTGCCCTTTGGCCCATGGTGGTGGGGAGCCAGGGTCTTCGTTGGGATTACTCAGGCATCAGTCCAGCTTTCTGACCTCCCAACCCTGGCTTGGGCTCAGCACCGGAAGCAGTCTGGGGAGCAGGCAGCCCTGGTGGGGACAGAGATTTTCTCTGAGGGACTTTTTCCAGAGCTCATGGTGCCTGCTCCCTGTGAGGACACATCTGACCTCCAGATGGAGGGGACAGCCTGCCTCACCTGGTTTCCGTTACCTTCAGACCTCAGACTTCTGTAGCTTGGTCCTACCTCCTTCTCTGGCCAGCCAATCACCCTCCTGGTCCCCCAGCCAGCTCTCAGACCACTCCATACTCGGGAGGCCTATTAATAGTGGAGGCAGCCCGGCTGGTATGGCTCAGTGGTTGAGTGTCGACCCATGTACCAAGAGGTCGCTGGTTCGATTTCCGGTCAGGGCACCTGCCCAGATTGTGGACCAAATCCCCAGTGGGGGGCATGCAAGAGGCAGCCAATCGATGTTCTCTCTCGTAGATGTTTCTATCTCTCACTCCCTTTCCTGTCCTCTCTCTCTAAAATCAATAAAGAAAAAAAAAAAATAGTGAAGGCAGCCACCAAAGATCAGCAAGGATCACCGCAGACAGCTCAGGCCCGTCGCCTCGTGCTTTTCTCGCTCCTCCCGGTGACCAGGTGCATGCCTTGTGCTGAGTGAGGCAAGGGCCAGGCCCTCCTGGACCTGAGGCTGGTCACAGAGACACTCAGTAAGGCCCTGGATTCCTACCAACTGGGTCCCAGGGCACTGGAGGCATTGGCCCTTTGGAAACCTTGGCAGAGATTACACTGGACCTGGGCTGGGCCACACACCAGCTGACCTCACGCAAATTACTTTCTTTCTCCGAGCCTCAATTTTCTGCATCTATAAAAGAGTGGGAGCAATAACGTGGGCCAGCTCACACTTTATCGCAAACACATCAAAGGACTTGTATGACAAAGGTGCCCCCCCCCCCGCCCCCCGTGTGAGGACACTGCTCCAGAGGCGGCTTTGGCAGGCCTGAGGGTGCACCAGGCTCCAGCCTTGCTGCCTGGTTGGGTCACTGGGCAAACCTGCATTTCTCACCCAGCAAAGGCAGCACTCACAGGGTGGTGGTGGGAACCTGTGAGTGTCCTGCCCCAAGCACTTCCCACCGTTTGCCATGAGCCATGTCAGGCAGAGACGCTGTCCCTTCGTTCACTTGTGTTCCTACCTCGAACAGTGCCCAAGTGCCCAGTGCCCAGCACGGGCTCAGTATTTCTAACATGAACAAACGTGAGGTATAAAGCCAAGGACCCTCCCAGAAGGTGAAATCGACAAAGATGGATTTATTCTCCCCACCCGCACCCCTCCAAACTCAGTAACTCCTGGAGCAGCTAGGCACAGACCTGTGTGGGCAGCCTCTGTGGAGTTGCCCTCCCGGCCCCGCCCAGCCAGCTCAGGGCCCGCTGTGTTCTGACTCACTCCAGAGTCCCGGGCTGACCTGACCTGGCTGGCTCCTCACAGCTTTGGGGTTGCAGGATAAATCCTGGTGGGAAGTGGGTTGAGGCAGATAGGCTGCCTCACTGTCCGGCAACTATCTGATGACCAGCCTCTAAGCCACTTCATCTGTCAAACCCTTTGTGCACTGTCCACACGGCCTGGGAGGGAGTGGACAGTGACCCTGCACGTGCCCCAGGGCCTGTTCTCATGGTTACTTGGCTGCAGGCCAGGGTGGGCGATGGGCGAGGCATCACTGGGGCAGAGGATGTTGGCTTCCAGGTGGGGATGGGTTGGTCCAGGCCAAGGACTCGTTGGGAGTTAGTGATTCTGTGTCAGGCTGTCCTGGAAACACATGCAGTCGGGTCAGGGCAACTTCACCCCTTGGCGCTGCCGGCACCAAGTGGCCTGCCCGAGGGGCTAATGGGTCCCAGAAGGGCCCGAGCAGTCCCCAGGATACCCTTGGCAGGTCCCTTACCTATCTGCTCCCAAAGTTCTATAGCAAGAGTTCCTAACCTTCTCTGAGTGTGGACCCTTTCATTAGAAACACGTATGTACGCTCCATACAAAATCTTTTATCGTGTCAAGGGGTTCACACCTAGAGGCCCATTAACTGAACCCCTTAGACCCAAGGCTGAGAAACCTTGCCCCAACTCTCTCCAGGGTGACTGGCCCTGGGAGTGTGGTGGGGGAAGGCCCAGAGAAGCTGGGCCCAAGGGAAGAGGCCCACCTGTTCAAAGTCCACTCCCTCCTGCCCACCCCACTGCTGCGGCCATGGTCAAGGGAAGCTCTCACCAGGCACAGGCCCTAGCAGAGTCCCCGTGGCACGGGAGGCTCTGTCCAGGCACAGGCCCTAGCGAGTCCCTGTGGCACGGGAGGCTCTGTCCAGGCACAGGCCCTAGCGGAGTCCCTGTGGCACACGGAGGCTCTGACAGGCACAGGCCCTAGCGGAGTCCCTGTGGCACGGGAGGCTCTGTCCAGGCACAGGCCCTAGCGGAGTCCCTGTGGCACGGGAGGCTCTGACCAGGCACAGGCCCTAGCGGAGTCCCTGTGGCACGGGAGGCTCTGACCAGGCACAGGCCCTAGCGGAGTCCCTGTGGCACGGGAGGCTCTGACCAGGCACAGGCCCTAGCGGAGTCCCTGTGGCACGGGAGGCTCTGACCAGGCACAGGCCCTAGCGGAGTCCCCGTGGCACGGGAGGCTCTGACCAGGCACAGGCCCTAGCGGAGTCCCTGTGGCACGGGAGGCTCTGACCAGGCACAGGCCCTAGCGGAGTCCCTGTGGCACGGGAGGCTCTGTCCAGGCACAGGCCCTAGCGGAGTCCCTGTGGCATGGGAGGCTCTGACCAGGCACAGGCCCTAGCGGAGTCCCTGTGGCACGGGAGGCTCTGACCAGGCACAGGCCCTAGCGGAGTCCCTGTGGCACGGGAGGCTCTGTCCAGGCACCGGAGGCTCTGACCAGGCACAGGCCCTAGCGGAGTCCCTGTGGCACAGGAGGCTCTGTCCAGGCACGGGAGGCTCTGACCAGGCACAGGCCCTAGCGGAGTCCCTGTGGCACGGGAGGCTCTGACCAGGCACAGGCCCTAGCGGAGTCCCTGTGGCACGGGAGGCTCTGACCAGGCACAGGCCCTAGCGGAGTCCCCGTGGCACGGGAGGCTCTGACCAGGCACAGGCCCTAGCGGAGTCCCTGTGGCACAGGAGGCTCTGTCCAGGCACGGGAGGCTCTGACCAGGCACAGGCCCTAGCGGAGTCCCTGTGGCACGGGAGGCTCTGACCAGGCACAGGCCCTAGCGGAGTCCCTGTGGCACGGGAGGCTCTGACCAGGCACAGGCCCTAGCGGAGTCCCTGTGGCACGGGAGGCTCTGACCAGGCACAGGCCCTAGCGGAGTCCCTGTGGCACGGGAAGCTCTGACCAGGCACAGGCCCTAGCAGAGTCCCTGTGGCACGGGAGGCTCTGTCCAGGCACAGGCCCTAGCGGAGTCCCTGTGGCATGGGAGGCTCTGTCCAGGCACAGGCCCTAGCGGAGTCCCTGTGGCATGGGAGGCTCTGTCCAGGCACGGGAAGCTCTGACCAGGCACAGGCCCTAGCGGAGTCCCTGTGGCACAGGAGGCTCTGTCCAGGCACGGGAAGCTCTGACCAGGCACAGGCCCTAGCGGAGTCCCTGTGGCACGGGAGGCTCTGACCAGGCACAGGCCCTAGCGGAGTCCCTGTGGCACGGGAGGCTCTGTCCAGGCACAGGCCCTAGCGGAGTCCCTGTGGCACGGGAGGCTCTGACCAGGCACAGGCCCTAGCGGAGTCCCTGTGGCACGGGAGGCTCTGACCAGGCACAGGCCCTAGCGGAGTCCCTGTGGCACGGGAAGCTCAGCCCAGGGCCCTAGGCCTGGACAGGCCCACTTGGAGGGAGTTGGTAACAGGGACAAAAAGGGAGGGAGGAAGCAGCCCAGCCCCTGCACCTCCCCTCTCCCCCCTCTGCTGCTCCTCACTGCCCCTCAGCCCAGGCAGCCCCGCAGCACTGAGGTGCGTGCACACAGCTTACTGCTGCGTCTGCGCCTCTCCCGCTCTGGGGGGGGGGTGGGGGTGGGGTGTGTGTGTGTGTGTGTGTGTGGCCAGCCGCCAACTCATCCCTTTTTCTTCAGGGTCTGGGGAGCAGTCGGGTTCTATGAGTGTAATTGAGATCTGAGCGAGCTGGGATTTGGGGAACAAGCTCCCCTCCTCTGAAAAGTGGCCAGAGTTCCGATTGGCTGGGAGGGAAAGTGGGGCAGAGCCCAGTGGACAGGACTGATGACTGGAACAAGCCGGCCCGGACGCTGGCATCAAAAACCCCCTCGGAGAGGGCCTTCCCCCAGCCTCCCTGTGGCAGACCCGCCCCGAGGGCTGCCCTTCCGCGTGTCCATGAGGGACACGTCTGCTCCTGTGGGGCGGGAGTGGGCATCTCCTTTCCACTGAGTTTTGAGCCTTTTCTAGTAGTTTCCTGTCGCTGCTGCAACAACCACCATAGACTCATGGCTGGAAACAACACAAGTTTATTCTTACAGTTCAGAATTCCCAAATAGTCCGACTGGGCTACAGTCAAGGGGTCGGCAGGGCTGGTTCCTTCTGGAAGTTCTGAGGGGAGAAGCCATTTCCTTGCCTTTTGTAGCTTCTGGAGGCCGCCTGCATCCCTTGGCCTGTGAGCCCTTCCCGTGCGACTCCAGCCTCTTGCTTCCGTCACCGTAGCCCCACTTCCTCTCTGACCTGCTTCCCTCTCGTAAGGGCCCCTCCGATCACGTCAGGACTCTGGACACTCAGGATAGTTGTCACCTTGTCTAAAGATCCTTAACTTATGACATCTGCAAAGTCTCTTTTGCCATAAGAGGTCACGTTCACAGGTCCCTGGGATTGGATCATGGGCGTCTTGGGGGCCATGACACGGCTACTCCAAGGCTGCAGAACTGCTCTGCCCTCCTGGTGCCTCAGTGATGGGGAGAGAAAGGGTTGGGGGTTTTCTGCTCTGGGTTCAGCAGGGCCCTTCCTAACCTTGTATTTCTAGGGTCTAGGCTTTACCAATCCTCTCCTTCCAACTAGAGAGACTAACAGCAAACCAGCCTTGAATGTCAGGTGCCAAATCTAGAGGTGCAGGGCCAGCCGAGAAGCCCCCTGGGCCCGGGGCGCCTGCCCTAAGCTCCCCCTGCTGGCTGCAGCAGGTCCATGGCTGGGGAGGGTCGCGGAGAAGGGCCTGGGCCTGCTGGGGGTGCAGGAAGACCACGGGATGAGTGCGCCGCCAGGACAGCGCGTGTCGGCCAGAGCTGAGCTGAGGCTGCACTGCCACGGGAGTCAGAGGGAGAAGCTGGGGGCTGTGGTCCAAGGCCCCAGAGATGACGGAGACCATGGCTGGGAGAGGCTCTGAGGTCGGTGAGAGAACATCTCTGGCTCACAACATCTGGGGGTGAGGACGAGGCCCCCCAGACTAGTGCAGCTCCAAAGCCCCAGGCATCAGGCTTTTCTTTGTAATGAGAGCAGGTGGGCAGGGTGGGCAGGGCAGAGCAGGAAGGCAGGAGCTCCTCTTGCTACCTTTTCTCCATGTTCTGCATCTGCAAGCTGAGGGAGGTGAAGCTGGCCAGGAGGTCAGTCACTTCATCCACCTGCAGGACAAAAGAGGCTCTGTCGCGGGGTGCCAGGACAAGCCTGGGCCTAGGAACTCCCAACACCACAGCCTGGAGGGCAGCACTGCCTCTCTCAAGGCATGTGGTAGCTGCACTGTGACTACGGAACAGCTGTCCGAGGGTTAATCCTAGGCAGCAGGTAGTCTCAGACCACCCCAGAGAGAAGGCCAGCAGCAGCTTCAAAGGCAGTGGGCAGAGGCTCTGAGGCCCACAACCCCACAGCCATGGCCTCTTCCCACGGGAGGGTCTGGCTGCCTCGGAGCAGGGGGACTGGCCCTGCGCCGCTCACCTGCTCCCTGGTGCTCGTCATCTGGAGGCGGGTGCACAGGTTGTCCAGCCGCTCCCGCTGCTTGTGCCGCCCCAGGATCTCCAGGTACTCCCTCAGCATCTGGATGATCTGAAGCGAAGGGCAGGCTGGCTGTGGGTCCCCGCTAAGAGGCACCCGGCACTGCAGCCAAGAGGCACAGTGGAGCAGGTACCAGCTGGGGGCAGTGAAGTGACCGGGGAGCCGGCTGGAAGCAGGGGGGTCTGTGGGGAAAGCAGTACCTGTCCGGTGCTGGCTCGGTGCCATGGGCTCAGCATGAGGGACACTCACCTGCTTCACCTCCAGCCGCACAGCCTCCAGGCACTGGGAGTGGCCTTCCTGCAGGATGCTCAGCTTTGACTTGGCCAGGTGCAGGGGTGTGCGGCCAGCTCTGTCCGGGGCATCTACACGGGCCCCTGTGGGAGCAGACAGAGGTAAGCATGCTCGGGGTGAAAGTCAGAGAGGGGAGGGGGAAGGGGAAGGCACTACATACCTCTTTGTAGCAGTGTGGTGATGACAGGCACATGGTTGGTGCAGGCCGCTGAGGAAGAAGAACAGGGACTTGAGTGCAGGACCACCAAGGCTTGACCCTGTGTGCCCGCTAGAGGGAGCAGGACTGTCTCCAAGTGTGCCTGCGTCAGGTCATGCCTCCTGAGAAGGCATCACTGAGGCCTCAGCAATCAATCTGGTTCCCTCCCTATACCACTGGGGAAACTGAGGCTCAGAGACCGTACCTGCCTCATCATGAGCCATGGTGTGAGTCAGCCACAGGGCAGGAACTAGCTGCGGGTCTCACCTCCCCTAGCAGAGCCGCCACTGAGTCAATTTAGGTTGCTAACTCCGCTCTGCTCAGGGCACAGCCAACTGGTGATCGATAGGGGAAGTCCATGACACACACGCTGGGGGCTAAGATTCTCCTAGGTGATAGGAGATCCTGCTGGGAGCCTGCAGGACACCAGACTCTTCATCAAAGGAGCCTATCTGTGCTGCAGAGAAGGGTGTCTTGGCAGCTTCTCAGGCACTCACCCAGGTGCAGTGGTGTGTTCCCCAGCCCATCTCGCTGGTTGGGATTAGCCCCGTAGTCCAGGAGCAGCTGCACTGAAGTGGAAAAACCCAAAGAAGCTGTCAGAGGCTCCCATGGATTGGAGCCTAATCTCCACCCCTAACTTAGCTAAAGAGGCTCACTCCAAGTATGGACATGGAAACTAAACAGGGCCCTTCTGTGGCTTCACTCACTCACTCACTCACTCACTCAGCGTTCACGTGCAGGACTCCGAGGGTCAGGAACTGGGGGTTCCAGGAGGGCCTCCTGGCCTATGCAGGTGTCACAGGACTGAGATTTTATAGGGTAAAGAAAGTTCTTCCAACAGTTGTGGCTACTAGAGAAGGCCCTTCAAGGTGTGTTCTACTTTCAGAGCCAATCGCTATAGTGGGAATTAGACGAACAGGTGACGCTGTGGTATCGCCAGGGCTCCTCAATTACTGAGACGAATGTGCAGCAGACTAACCCTAGTGGGAGCCAGGCCGAGTGTCACACCATACACAGAACCTAATTCAAAAGGGACCACAGACCCAAACAGTGAAAGCTCAGCCAGGCTTGTAGTAGAAAACAGGACACTATCTTCATAATCTTGGAATAGGCAAGGATTTCTTACATAGGTTACAAAATTAATAACCATACAAAAGAAATGACTGCCCGGCTGGTGTGGCTCAGTGGTTGAGCATCGCCCCATGCACCAAGAGATCATCGGTTCAATTCCCGGTCAGGGCCCAGGCCCAGGTTGTGGGCCAAATCCCCAGTAGGGGGCATGCAGGAGGCGGCCAATCAATGTTTTCTCTCATCAATGTTTCTATCTCTCTTTCCCTTTCTCTTCCTCTCTCTCTAAAATCAATAAAGAAAAAAATTATTTTAAAAAGAAATGATTGATAAAGTCATTAAAATGTATAAGAAATGGCCCTGGCTGGTTTGGCTCAGTGGTTATAGCATTGGCCTGCGGTCCAGAGAGACCCGGGTTCGGTTCCCACTAAGAGCACGTACCTCGGTAGCAGTTTGTCCCCGGCCCTGGTTGGGTCGTGTGGGTGGCAGCCACTTGATGTGCACCTTTCACGTCGATGTTTCTCTCTCTCTCTCTCTCTCTCTCCGTCTCTCTTCCTCTCTCTCCCTTCCGCTCTATCTGAACAAAAAATGAAAAAATGTCCTCGGATGAGGATATAAAAAAAATTTGTAAGAACTGGTATTCATCAAAGAATAGCATTTAGAGAATAAAAAGGCAAGTTCAAGAAAGGTAAGTCATTTATATTTGACAAAAGATTTGTAACCAGAATATATAGCCCTGGCCTGGTAGCTCAGTTGGTTAGAGTGTCGTCCCAATATGCCAAGGTTACGGGTTTGATCTCCAGTCAGGGCACATTCAAGAGGCAACCAATGACTGCATAAATAAGAGGAACAACAAATCGATGTTTTTCTCTCTCTCAAGTCAATTGGAGAAAAAAAAAAAAGACTATATAATTTCTACAAATCAATAAAAGATAGGCAACTTGCTAAAAAATAAAGTAGACAAAAGACCTGAACAGATACTCCACAAAAGAGACTATAAAAATGTCCAATAAATACACAAACACGTGCTCAACATTATTTGCTGTCAAAGAAATGCAAACTAAACCACAATGAGGCATGTCCCCCACTGGGGATCGGGCCCACAACCTGGGCATGTGCCCTGACCAGGAATCAAACCAGCGACTTCTTAGCTCATGGGTTGACACTTAATCACTGAACCACACCGGCTGGGCAAGGATATAATTTTTTTTTTTTTTTTTATCCTCACCCGAGGATATTTTTCCATTTTTTGTACAGATAGAGTGGGAGGGAGAGAGAGGAAGGAGAGAGAGAGAGAAACATCGACGTGAAGGGACACATCCAGTGGCTGCCACCCGCACGACCAACCAGGGCCGGGGACAAACTGCAACCGAGGTACATGCCCTTAGCGGGAACCGTACCCGGGTCTCTCCGGACCGCAGGCCGACGCTCTAACCGCTGAGCCAAACTGGCCAGGGCAAGGATATAATTTTTTAATCCTCACCTGAATATATGTTTTTAGTGATTTTAGAGAGAGGAAAGGGGGGAGAGAGAGAGAACCATTTCTGTGAGAGAGAAACACGGATTAGTTGCCTCCCTTCTGTGCCCTGACCTGGAATTGAACCCATAACCTTTTGGAGTATGGAACAACGCTCGAACCAACTGAGCCACCATGTCAGGACAAGAATATAATTTTGAACGAAAGAAGTTAAGATTCAAAAAAATGCATAATCTAGGCCTCCATTTATGTGAAACTCAAAAACAGGGGAAACGAATCCCTGGTGAACTAGGCCCACGTGAGGGTAAGGACTGGACGGGGCAGTCAGGCTGCGGGGTTCTGAAATTATTCTATGTAAAATATTCTAGTCGCCCTGGCAGGTGTGGCTCAGTGGCTGGAGCATTGTGCACCGAAGAGGCCCCGGTTTGATTCCCGGTCAGGGCACGTACCCAGCTTGCAGGTTCAATCCCTGGTCGGGTAGGTATGGAAGGTGACCAATCGATGTTTCTCTCTCACATCAATATTTTTTTTTCTCTCTCTCGAATCAATGAAAAACATATCCTTGGGTGAGGATTAAAAAAAATTTTATGTCTTGATCCAGGTGGTGGTTATATCAGTGTAAACACATAGAAAGTTCACTGCTTGTAAGTCAAACCACACCCAAAAAAGACTCCTAAGAGCTGTACCGCTGCTGCTCTGGGCACTGAGGACATGTGGCCTGAAGGTGCTGAAGGACTGGCCCAAGCTTGGGGCGATCACTCTTCCCCAGGTTTCCCTCCCTGGCTGGCAGTGCCAGACCCACGTGCTCGGGGAGTGAGGGGCAGGCACCACCCCCGACTGTGCAGACGACAGCGCACCTCTAGACAGGCTACCTGGCCAGCCCCACCCACCCCACCAGGACTCACCAATTTCGTCGTTGCCATTGCAGGAGGCAAAGTGTAAAGCTGTGCGGCCCTTGTCATCCGCTGCACGGGGATCCGCGCCCTCTTCCAGCAGCCGCTGCACTGATACCAAGACAGAGGGAGGAGGGGGAGCGACAGTGTTAGCTGAGCTGCAGTCCCCGGGGAGGGAGAGGATGCTCAGAGGCCCTTCCAGGCAAGGCCCTGATAATGCATGGGACAGCTAGTCCCTCCTGGATGCTTGGCCCATGGGGACTGCCATGACAAGGGACTTGTTCTCCTGAGGGCACAACCGATGGCCACAGATTCTGGTTGCTCAAACTACTTGTCTAGGGAGAGGACATTGTAGCAGAAGCTTGACCCAAGTCAGCAACTCTATAGTCACAGAAACCCCCAGCAGACTTTGGCCCCATGCCACCACCTGAATTGCTACACATCCACTCCAGCCGGGCGCCACCCAAGCTGTTGGTCGATGCTTACGTTGCTCCCGGAAGCAGCCGTTTAGAGTGGACAGAGCACAGGTTCTGGAGCCACACAGCCCAAACCCAGGCCAAACTAAGCTAAAAGAAAAGGAGCACATTGCCAATAGCATGGGGCAAGGAAGAGAGCTGGGCTGGGAGTGAGAAGGCCCAGATTTGGGCCCCAATTACCACCAAATGGGAGTAATTTCTGCCCTGCCAAACTCCAGAGCTGCTGTAATGAGAAAAACGAATGTGAAATTCCTTTTTAGAAAAGTATGGAGCCATTACAAAATGTGAGCATCATGTATTACATGTACATGTCCAACTATAAGGTAGAAATTGCTGCCACACATCGTTTTCGGGCAGGCAACGTTTTCATCCGCCTCACAAGACTTCTCAAGGATCTGAGTCCGCCCAGACAAAGCCCAGACATCTCCTCCTCCATGAATCTTTCCTGTCTCATCAAGCTGAGCTAGCCACTCCCTCTCCTGCACCTCAGCGCCCTGCTCATCCTGCTGCCCTAATATTAACGTGCTATTTTAGAGCAACTGCTACTGTACACTGAGCCTCAGCCAGCTGTCAGGTATCTGACTGCTAAGCCCTTCGGCCACCTAGCAAGGTATATCCATTTAAAAAAAAATTTTTTTTAAATTGATTTTAGAGAGGAAGGAAGAGGGAGAGAGAGTAGAAACACTGACGAGAGAGAACTTCGACTGGCCGCCTCCTACATGACCCCCCAACTGAGGATTTGGCCTAGAACCTGGGAATGTGCTGACTGGGAATTGAACTGGCGACCTCTCGGTGCATGGGTCAACACTCAACCACTGAGCCACACCAGCCGGCTCATGTCCATTTTTTAAAAATATTATTAGCCCTGGCAGTTTTGCTCAGCGGTTAGAGCATCAGCCTGTGGTCCAGAGAGACCTGGGTTCAATTCCCGGTAAGAGCACCTACCTCAGTTGCAGTTTGTCCCTGCCCTGGTTGGGTCGTGTGGGTGGCAGCCACTCGATGTGTCCCTTTCATGTCAATGTTTCTCTCTCTCTCTCTCTATCCGAACAAAGTATCAAAAAATGTCCTTGGGTGAAGATTTAAAAAAAAAATGTTTTTGGTATTTACTTTATAAGCTTTACAAAAATTGTACAGTCATGTATCTATTCTATAAATAGGAAAAAAATGTCGCTTCCATTTGAAAAACAAATGGTTACAAAGACTATGAAAAATGTTTATGATACACAAAAATTATATGGGCCACAAAACTGTGTATATGGGACAGTGTGCAAGCCCATAAAGAAGATTCTTCTGCACAGGAAGAAGAACGGGAAGGAAAGTCACCAAAACATTAACAGAGATTAGTTCCTTTACAGATATTAAGGATGTTTTACTTATATATTTCTCTAATTTCCAAAATGTTTTAGATGCATATATTATTTCCATATTTAAAAGATTTTAAATGATTAAGTGATTATGAATTGACAGAAAAGCACTTATGATTTAACAACAGCAGGGGATAAATTTTGTATCCTCTGTAATTGCTAAACTCTACAAAAAAACAAAACAGAACAAAACAATAAATATGCAGAGAAAAGAAAGCAAAATGCTAACCACCAAAGAAAAGGAGCAGAGAGGCTAATCCTACAGCCAGTGTCACCATCAGAGTCCTGCAAGAGCCCGGTAAATCTGAGGGCCATTTAGATTTGAACATGGGTGTGTCAGAGGCTCTGAATGGAAAATTACATCATTTCTATCAAATAATAAAACTACCGCCTGAACACCTGATTCCGGATGAACCAGACTTGGTGTGCTCCCTCCCCGGAGCACACCTGTGCCTTTTCCCTCCCCATCCTCTCCCCGCCAGGCATGTTATATTTACCCTTTTCTCTCCAAAGCTCCAAGGGCCCTTCTTTTGCTTCTGTAACTTGTTTTGTGAGCCTATTTCTTCCACCGCTCACTTTTTCTACCTCTGTGACTTTATTTTTAATGTTTTTTTATTTTTGAGAGGAAGGGAGAGAGACAGAAACATCATTTGGCTGCCTTCTGCATACCCTCATTGGGGATTGAGCCCGAAACCCAGACATATGCCCTGACCAGGAATCAAAGCGGGACCTCTCAGTCCATGGGATGACGCTCAATCCACTGAGCCATACTGACCATACATCTATGACTTTCTAAACTTTCTTATAATTTGAGAAAGAAAAAAAAAAAAGATGAACTAGACATTCTGTAGAAGGGTAGTATACCTAAAATATTCTCTGGTCTGCCCAGCCAGTGTGGCTCACTGGTTGAGCGTCAACCCATGCACCAAGAGGTCACCAGTTCAATTCCCGGTCAGGGCACATGCCCAGGTTGTGGGCCTGATCCCCAGTGGGGGGCATGCAGGAGGTGGCCAATCAAGGTTCTCTCTCATCGATGTTTCTCTCTCTGTCTCCCTCTCCCTTCCCCTCTATCTAAAATTAATAAAGAAAAGACCGAAGAGTCTCATGTATGATTCCCAGTTAAAGGCACATACCTCAGTTTTGGGTTCGATCCCCGCCCAGTCGGGGTCATGCGGGAGGCAACCAAGTGATGTCTCTCACATTGATGTTTTTCTCTTTCTTACTCTCCCTCCCTTCCACTCTCTCTTTTTTTTTGTCAGAAGGATCATGAGACCCCGCTTTCACGGTCTGTATTCGTACTGAGAATCAAGACCAAGCGAGCTTTTGCCCTTCTGCTCCACAGGAGGTTTCTGTCCCCCTGAGCTCGCCTTAGCCTTCCATTCTCTTAAAAAAAAAAAGAAAAAAAGAAAAAGAAAAAATATCCTCGGGTAAGGATTAACAAAAAAAGAGAATGCTTATAGTTTTCTATGAAAAGTTACCTTGGACAGGGAGATTGCTGTCTAAATATTCCGAAATATTAAAGTTCATGAAAAAGAGACCAGAGTGAAGAAAGCTGAGAAGCTCTCCAGTTCCCAGGCCTGTTCACTATGCTACGCCACTTCAAGACCCACGGTGCAACACCTCAGCTCCTGAGGGAAGGCTTTCCCAGCCACGGCCCTCAGTCTATGCTCACCCATTGACCACAGCATCCCGCCGCCAAAACAGAATGAACTGCTGCCCTCTTGAGGTCGGCAGAATAACAGCTCCCAAAGATGCCATGCGAATCCGAAAGTATGGACATATTACCTTACCCACCCACAAGGGACTTTGCAGTGTGATTAAGGTTAGGGACCTTTGGCTAGGAACATTATCCTGGATTATTGAGGCCCAATTTAATCACATGAGTCCTTAAAATCAGAGAACCTTTCCCTGCTGTGAGATCCAGAGATGGCGTGAGAACTCAGTCCCGCTATTGCTGAATGTGAAGATGGGGAAGGGTGGCCTCTAGAAGCTGGAAAAGGCAGCGAAGCAGATTCTCACCGAGGGCCTCCAGAAAGAAATGCAGCCCTGCAGACACCTCGAATGCAGCCCGGTGAGACCTGTGTTGGACTTCTGACCTGCGGAACTGTGTGATATGATTGTGTTGTTCCATACCACTGTGTTTGTGGTAACCTGTTACAGCAGCCGTACTGACGAAAGTACCCCTTTTCCTTGATTCACAGTGGATAAAATTAAAACTTTTTTTTCTAACTTGTCCTTGTACCTTTGATACTGCTACTGCCCTATCAGCTAGTGAACATGAGAGAACAATGACCAAAAAAAAAAAAAACCAGAGTGGTGTCTTGCTAGGAACCCCTCCCATGCCTTCCAGATGTTTCAGAACCAGTGACCCAACTACCACAAAGCCTCAGCGAGCTGCTGAAGACTGTTGCTCTGTGCAGATGGTGGCTCCCCTGGCAACTAAAACTGACAGTTCATTCCCATAAGCCAGGAGTTCCCACAAGTTCCTAATCTGCTGGGTGTCAGGAATACAAAAGCAGACATGGTCCCCACCATCAAGGAGCCCACAGGGCGACACAGGCTAAGACATCAGGAAGTTCATGGTGAGAAGAGCGAGCACCGAAGCGAGACATATCTTCTGCAAGATGACTTCAGTTATCCAATAACACAGTAAGCATGGTGCACGGGCTGAGCTGTCAGACTGCATTCAAGCACCATCTTCCCAGGTATTGGTGACCGGGATTTTTCCTCCCCTAACCGACCCACAGAGCTGGATCCGCTCTGCACACTCACCCGTTTCCACGTCGTTGGCATTGGCCGAGTCCCGCAGCCTCTTCAGAGCTGTGGAGAGAGAAAGAGAGTGCCAGTTTAACAAAGAAAAGCAGCACCACGATGAAGCAGATAGTAGTGGATGGCTTCCCAGTTAACACACCATTCAGCTACAGTAGCCCCTAAGGGAAGAAAGATGCCAGGATACGAGAGACACTACCCCGGGAACAGGGAGAAACTTGAAATGTGGCACGACCAGTGCAGAGGCCGAATTCGGTAGCAAATCCTCCAAGGCCTTTGGAGCCAGATCTGGAACCTGCCACTTGTAGTAGCGGGGACTTGAGCAGGTTAGTTAATCCAGCTCAGGTCTATCATCTGCAAAATAAGGATGAGCTCTGTCCTGACAGCCCTGAGTTGTCACAAAGACAAAATGAGATGTTTACTTTCGAGCTCTGTGAACAGGTTACACAAATAATCTTTTTTTCCCCAAAAATGTTTTTATTGATATTTTAGAGAGAAAGCAAGGGAGAAATAGAAACATCAATGTGAGAGAGAAACATCGATTGACTGCCTCCTGCACCACCCCACTGGGGATCAAACCCGAAACCCAGGCATGCGCCCTGACCAGGAATCGCACCCGAACCTCTCAGTCCATGGGATGACTCTCAATCCACTGAGCCAGACCGGCCAGGCTACACAGATAATCTTTTTTTTTTAATGTTATGAGATTTTTTTTTTTTTTTTTTATCCTCACCTGAGGACATTTTTCTATTTTTTTTGTTCAGGTAGGGTGGGAGGGAGAGAGAGGAACAGAGAGAGAGAGAACACATCGAGTGGCTGCCACCCGCATGACCGACCAGGCCGGGGACAAACTGCAACCGAGGTACATGCCCTTAGCGGGAACCGAACCCGGGTCTCTCTGGACCGCAGGCCGACGCTCTAACCGCTGAGCCAAACCGGCCAGGGCTACACAGATAATCTTATATTTTCTCTTTAAAATAGTCCATTCTCCCAGCCAGTGTGGCTCAGTGGATTGAAGCGCTGGTCGTCCCATGGACTGATAGGTCCTGGTTCGATTCCCGGTCAGGGTACACACCCAGGTTGGGGGCTCGATTCCCAGTAGGGAGCGTGCATGAGGGAGCCAATCCATGTTTCTCACATCAATGTTTCCATCTCTCTCTCCCTTCCTCTCTCTCAAAAATTCAATAAAAACATATTTAAAAAGAGGCAATTCCCAAATGACTTAAATTTGGTAATTCCTAAGCAGAAACATTTTCTCATACAATGACACTACCTCTATATTAAAGGCTAATTGAAAGCAATGCCTTTGTCATCAGAAAAATGCTCAAAAATTGCATCTCAAACACAGGATTCCTTACATTCATAGACTACTTTATGGATTATACAGTACTTTCAAATTCTCATTTAATCTTTTTTTAACTTATCTTCATTATTGAATGTATTACAGATGCCCCCCCTTCCCCATTGATCCCTCCTGCCTTCCCCACACTACTGTCTGTCCACTGGTTGTGCGTATGTGCACAGAAGGTCTTTGGTTCCTCTCATCCCGCTTTCCCTCCCCCTTCCCTTTGCGGTTCATCAGTTTAACAACCAATTTGTATTTAATTCCTTCATCTTTTTCACCCATCTCCCCAGCCCCCTCCCATCTGGCAACCAACAAAAAGTTCTCTGTATCTATGAATCTGTTTCTGTTCTGCTTGCTCATTTTGTTTGTTGATAGATATGTATTAACTGCCATTTTATTGTTCATATTTTTGTTCCTCTCCTTCAAGAAGACCCATCAACATTTCATATAATACTGGTTTGGTGGTGATAAACTCCTTTAGTTTTTTCTTGTCTGCGAAACTCTTTATATGACCATCAATTCTAAATGCTAGCTTTGCAGGATAGAGTAACCTTGGTTGTAGGTTATTGCTTTTCATCACCTTGAATATCTCTTGCCACTCCTTTCTGGCCTGCAAAGTTTCTTTAGAGAAATCAGCTGACAGTCTTATGGAAGTGCCCAAAGAAGAAGCAAGAGGGCAAGAAATTGAAAACCTATTTGAAAAAATGTCAGAAAACTTCCCTAACTTGGTGAAGGAAACAGATATACAAGTCCAGATAGCACAGAGAGTCCCAAACAAGATGAACCCAAAGAGGTCCACACTAAGACACATCATCATCAAAATGCCAAAAATTAGCCTTGGCCAGTTTGGCTCAGCGGTTAGAGCATTAGCCTGCGGCCCAGAGAGGCCTGGGTTTGGTTCCTGCTAAGGGCACGTAACTTGGTTGCAGTTTGTCCCCGGCCCCAGTTGGTATTGTGTGGGTGGCAACCACTCGATGTGTCTTTCTCACACTGATGTTTCTCTCTCTCTCTTCTTCCCTCTCTCCCTCTTGCTCTATCTGAAGATAAATGGAAAAAAAAAAAAAAAAAAGCCAGAGATTAAAGACAGAATCTTAAAAGCAGCAAGAGGCTCTGGCCGGTTTGGCTCAGTGGTTAGAGTGTCGGCCTGCGCCCCAGAGAGACCCGGGTTCGGTTCCTGCTAAGGGCACGTACCTCAATTGCAGTTTGTCCCCAGCCCTGGTTGGTCGTGCGGGTGGCAGCCACTCAATGTATCCCTTTCACATCAATGTTTCTCTCTCTCTCTCTCCCTCCCACTCTATCTGAACAAAAAATGGAAAAATGCCCTCGGGTGAGGATTAAAAAAAAAAAAGCAGCAAGAGAAAAACAATTCAGGCTGTCAGCCAATTTCTCAAAAGAAACTTTGTAGGCCAGGAGAGAGTGGCAAGAGATATTCAAGGTGATGAAAAGCAATGACCTACGACCAAGATTACTCTATCTTGCAAAACTAGCATTTAGAATCGATGGCCAGCCTGGCCAGTGTGGTTCCGTGGTTGAGCATCGACCCATGTACTAAGAGGTTACCAGTTCAATTCCCAGTCAGGGCACATGCCCAGGTGCTGGGCCAAATCCCACTGAGGGGCATGCAGGAGGCGGCCAATCAGTGTTCTCTTGTCAATGTTTCTATCTCTCTTCTCCCTCTCCCTCTCCTTTCCTTTCTCTCTAAAAGCAATAAAGAATAAAAAAAAAGAATTGGTGGACATATAAAGAGTTTCGCAGACAAGAAAAAGCTAAAGTAATTCATCACCACCAAACCAGTATTATACGAAATGTTTATGGGTCTTCTTGAAGGAGAAGATAAAAAAATATGAATAAAATGGCAATAAATACATATCTATCAACAATTGAATCTACAAACAAAATGAGCAAGCAGAACAGAAACAGATTCATAAATACAGATAATTTTCTTTAATTTTTTTTTTAATAATTTTTTTTAAAATCCTCACCCGAGGATATATCTCCATTTATCTTCAGATACAGAGAGGGGGAGAGAGAGAAACATCAACATGAGGGGGACACATTGACTGGTTGCCTCTTGCATGACCAAGGCCAGAATTGAACCTGAGACTCATGGTCTGTGGGCCAACATTCTACCACTGAGCCAAAGTAGCCAGAGCGATACAGAGAACTTTCTGTTGGTTGCCAAATAGGAAGCAAGTTGGGTGAAAAAGATGAAATGATTAGAAAGTACAAATTGGTTGTTAGACTGATGAACCTCAAAGGGAAGGCAGGGCAGGAAGAGAGAAACCAAAGAACTTATATGCATATATGCATAACCAACAGACACAGACAATAGTGTGGGGAAAGCAGGAGGTGGGCGGGATTGGGGAGGAGGGAGTCAACAGGTGAAGAAAGAGAGACATCTGTAATACATTCAACAGTAAAGATAAGTTAAAAAAAAAAAATCTGAATCAGGATCCAAGACAGGCCAATCCTAAGGTAAAGCATTGCAAACAGCCTGGGTGGGCCCGAAAGTTGGGTGGGGCGGGGCCTCGGGGAATCTCCAGGGCAGGGTGAACATTGTGAGCCAGTTGGTGGAGTCCCAGATATGGAGGCCTCTGCGGCCCTGAGGAAGAGAACAACGGCCTATGCCAGTACGTCTGTCTGGGAGAAAACTCCCCTCCAGCTCTTGCCTGGATGCCAAACAACTCAGTTAGTTCTTCACTGTATGTCTCTGGTGCCTCTCTTCTTTTTTTTTTTTTTTATCCTCACCCAAGGACATTTTTGCACTTATCTTCAGATAGAGCGGGAGGGAAAGAGGGAGGAAGAGAGAAATAGAAACGTTGATGTGAGAGAGACAACATCAACTGGTCACCACCCACAGGGCCCCAACCGGGGAGGGGACAAACCACAACCAAGGCATGTGCCCTTAGCGGGAACCAAACCCAGAACCCAGAACTCTCTGGTCCACGGGCTGGTGCTCTAACTGCTGAGCCAATCCAGCCAGGAATCTCTGGTGCCTTTCAAGCTGCCTCCTGACGTTGGAGCCTGGAGGGTGGGAGTCAGAGTAAGTCCATGGGCGGAGCCTTTAAAAGGAACTGCCTGGGGCTCCAGTAGCCTCAGCCACCCTCAGCTTAGGTTCCCGCTGGTTTTTACAGCCAAAAGTTATGGGGACTGCCCAGCTGGTGTGACTTAGTGATTGAATGTCAACCCAAGCACCAAGAGGTCGCTGGTTCAATTCCTGTTCAGGGTTTATGCCCAGGTTGTGGGCCAAATCCCCAGTGAGGAGCATACAGGAAGCAGCCAATTGATGTTCTCTCTCATTGATGTTTCTATCTCTCCCTCTCCCTTCCTCTCTCAAAAAATCAATTAAAAAAAAAGTTACGGCCCTGGTGGTTTGGCTCAGCAGTTAGAGCGTTGTCCCGCGGCCCAGAGAGACCTGGGTTCAGTTTCCCCTAAGAGCATGTTGCAGTTTGTCCCCAGCCCTGATTGGGTCGTGCAAGTGGCGGCCACTTGATGTGTCCCTTCCACATTGATGTTTCTCTCTCGTTCCTCTCTCTTCTTCCCGCTCTGTCTGAATTAAAAAATGGAAAAATCGCCCTGGCCGGTTTGGCTCAGTGGTTAGAGCGTCGGCCTGCGGTCCTGAGAGACCCGGGTTCGGTTCCCGCTAAGGGCACGTACCTCGGTTGCAGTTTGTCCCCGGCCCTGGTTGGGTTGTGCGGGTGGCAGCCACTTGATGTGTTCCTTTCACGTCGATGTTTCTCTCTCTCTCTGTTCCTCTCTCTCCCTCCCACTCTACCTGAACAAAAAATGGAAAAATGTCCTCGGGTGAGGATAAAAAAAATAAAAAATAAAAAAAAAAAAAAAAAAAATGGAAAAATGTCCTTAGATGAGGATAAAAAAAAAAAAAAAGTTATGGGGGCCCTGGCTGGTTTGGCCTAGCGGTTGGAGCGTCAGCCAACGGACCAGAGAGTCCTGGGTTCGGTTCCCACTAAGGGCACATGCCTCGGTTGCAGTTTGTCCCTGGCCCTGGTTGGGGTCGTGTGGGTGGCGGCCACTCAATGTGTCCCTCTCACATCGATGTTTCTCTCTCTCTTCCTCCCTCTATTCCTCCAGTTCTATCTGATGATGAATGCAAAAATGTCCTCGGGTGAGAATTAAAAAAAAAAAAGTTATGGGGACTTCTCTTCCTGGCACTGGAACCCTGGGCTGGGGGGGTGTGGTATGGGAGGAGGACCCCTCACTCCTCAGGGAGGCCCTTCACAGCAGAGGTATCCTCCTGATTTTTAACAGCCACAGGTGGTTGTAGGACCAGCCTGTCCACACTTCTGCCCCTCCTACCAGTCTCCATGTGGCTTCTTCTTTACCACATTTACCTACACTACCATCTTGACCAGAAGTCTCATTTAATCTTTATAACACCACTAAGGCATGGGTAGAATCACACAGATAGTACTAGAAGGAACCCTCAATGTCTCCATTGTTCTCTTTCCTGCGTTGGTTTCTGTGTCATCTACAAATTGTAACAATGCCGTAGACATATCAGAGCAGGAGTTTGAGTCTGGCGGACCTGGGTTCCCACAGAGCACTGCCAGTTTCTAGCTATGTGACTTGCTTTCTCTGAGCCTGTTTCCTCTTCCATAAAATGGGATCAGTAGCTGGATCTCAGTGAGTTATCATTTTGAGGATTGGGAAAGATCACAACACTGTTTGGCACACGACAAAAGCAGATTAACAGCTGTATGCATTACCTTACTTAACTCTCCCCAAATCTCTGTAAAGCAGTTATTGTACTCATTTTACAGATGAGAAAACTAAGGCTGAAAGGCTTCTATAGTTTGCCCAAGGCAGAAATGAGGTGGAGGAGTCCAGTCCTGGTTTGTACATTAAAACAAGTTGGTAGGACGTGGCTACAGGCTCTGGCCTCCCCTCTCTGATGGTGAAAGTATCCCCTAGTGCCCTATTTTATTATCAGCTAATAAACACTTGGAGTCCTAGAAAGTTTCTATTCAGGAATTATCAAGTGTGCAAAGCCTGGGGTGACTGGCTCTGAGCAGGAAGACGTTTTTTGTTTACATTCGTGGTCTTTAGCTGTTATACATTCTAATTACTACCACTGAAAAGAGACTGGGGGTTACTCTGGGCCCTTAGCTCTGATGTCGGAGGGCTCCAGACTGACGGGGCGGGGGAGAGGTCAGGGGTGCAGGGCCGGCCCGCCTTCAGCGCGCTGCTTACCGTGCACGTCCTTGCCCAGGGGCCCGAACCGGCGGTGGGGCCTGGCGCGCCTCAGCAGGGCTGCGGGGATCTTACGGAGCAGATCATCGCGGGACTCCGAGTTCTGCTGCCACATGACGTGGAGAAAAGGCAGCGGAGGCTGGGCCCCGCCGGACGCCCGGCCCGGGAGGCCCGGGAGGCCCGGGAGGCCCGCGCCGCCGCCCAGCGCAGACCCGAAGTCGGCGAAGGAGAAGAGGCCCTCGGGGCCGGTCAGCGGCTCCGGCGCCACCGCGCACTCGCCATCCGAGCTTGAGCGACCCGAGCGCGGCTCGTTGTCCGCGCCCCCGGCGGCGGCTGCCATAGCAACAGCTCCGCGCGGCCCTGGCCGCTGGAACCTCGTTTGGGACCGACCAACCGACTCACTTCCCTCCTCCCTAAGCCTCGCTGTGCCGAGCGGGAGGACACCACCTGCAACCACCGCCCCCGAGAGAGCTGGATCGCGTCGAGAGCTGAGCGCTCTGGAGTAATGAAAACCCTTCCAACCTAAGCCCCTCCCTCCAACCGGGCAAGAGAATTGGTTTCCGGCAGCGTGACTGACGAACATAAGAGCCAATCATATTTTTGAAGTGCCCAAGCCCTGGCCCTAGTCGCTACACCAGAGCCAATAAAATAGATTCAAGACACTTTTTTTTTTTTTTCCATTTCCTCCGTGGAATCATGGGAAAGGTAACGGGCGGATGCTTTAACCAATCACATAGAGAAAGTTAAGAAGCCAAACTTTAGGGTGAATACAGATGTATTTTATTTTACTTTATATTTTATTTTATTTTATTTTTAAATATGTTTTTATTGATTTTTTAGAGAGGAAGAGACTGAGAGATAGAAACACTGATGTGAGAGACAAACATCCACAGGCCGCCTCTTGCAGCTCCCCCCCTCCCACACTGGGGACTGAGCCCACAACCCTGCATGTACACTGATGGGAACCGAAATGGACCGTTCAGTCCATAGGATAACGCTCAATCCACTGAGCCCCACCGCGAGGCAATAGAGATATATGTTAAATCAATGAACGTGAAAAACGAATTTCCTACAGTAGCATAGTGTAAGTAGGAAAAGGAGTATGTTACATTTTTGAGCTATCACTAGGAACTGAGGAGTAATAGGTTCTAAATGCGATAGATCCGTTTATTCAGGGTTCTCCTGTAAACCCAGTGTTGATCACTGATTTACAAAGAATTTTAATTCGATTTAGTTACACCAGAGCAATGTGTCAGTTAGAGAGCCAGTCACTGAGCCAGGTAAGTCTGTGTTAGGTTCTGGACATAGGATCAGACTCCATTCCCGCTGACATGCTCACAGACCTATGGGAGAAGTCAGGGCTGGAAACAGGAAAATAATCTGCAAACAGATAATGATGAGTTTAGCAACAGTGCAACTGGGCGCACTGTTTTGTAAGAATTTTCACCAACCCGTCCCTGAGGGAAGAGTGAAGATAAGGAGTATATAAAATGGAGTCACTTAAACCAAGCTGCTAAAATTATTAACATTATGAAGGTTGAGGCATGAGGAAAGACTATTCGTGTTCTAAATAGCCTGGTAACTAAAAGGTCTGAGCAGGTGGGAGATCACATCAACACAAAGCCAATGTAGAGCAAAATGATTTTATTGCATGCGCCTGGGTGCAGGTAGGCTGAGTCCAAAAAGGGGTCAGCCTCAAATAACAGTTGGGGTGTAGGTTATATACTCTACTTCTACTTTCCAGCAGTTCCTGCTGACGTACTCTGTCTGGCCCATTGTCCACTTTGCAGTTGGACTGGTCTGTATCTCGTCCTGCATCTGTTGTGTGATTCATTGTCTTACAGATAATCCTACTCAATAGAAGGCTGAGCAAAGGTCATGCAAGCAATGCATTTTTCACAGTTTCTGCCTTATGCAAGCTTTTACCTTTACTCTTTAAAATGTTACTAACCCTTTCATTCCCATCTTTTAATGATGATAAAAAGGGAAAAGGGGCAAAGTTTCTTTCTCTTTGTCTACTTCCTGCAGGTGTGAGGTCATTGTGGACTCCTTAAAAAAATGTGTTAAATAACTTCTTGGGGAATGGGGCAATAGGGTCCTTTTACCTGTGCTAGAAAAAATTGTCCCAACTGTCTGGTTGACTAAAATTTGCAGTCGATTTTATACAAACCTAGTAATCAGGTGCAAGAGGCAGGGTCCAAAAGCAGTAAGAAGGCTAATACTAGGGGCCCTGTAAAGGCTACTGGCCAGTTTAGTTTAGGCAAGGCTGCTTCTATACGTGTCCAGATAGATTGGACTATGTGATCCTGACTGAATCCTTTTGACCACTGGATGTTATCTAGAATTCATTGCGTCTTCTCCTCGACCTGGCCAGTTGAGTTAACACAGAAGCAACAAGATGTATTTGCTGTCGTGCACAGACCTCCTTCTTTGGGTTGTAAATGGTATAGTGCAGTGTGTTTATCTATTAACATGCAGGCGAGAGAGTTGAGAGGTTTTGAAAGAAGTTTGAAATTTTCACCTGTATTTGCCTATATTTGCCTATATTTGACCTCTACCTATATTTGCCATGGTGGCGGTTATGTTTTGTGCTGTTATGGCATTATAAGTAATTCCTCTCACAAGGCCTGCAGTGGTAATTGCAGCTATGACTCCTACTCTGAGGAGGCCGACTCCCCTTTTTGTCCTATGATAGCTTCTGGGCTCAGGGCTTGATGAGGTTGAATTAGGGATGAAGGAATGGAGTAAGGTATTGGCTGGGGTGACATATCCTACTGCCCATAAGCCACCCTGTTTTTCTGGGTTTAGGCACTGAGTAGCAATTCCTCTCCTGGGGGCAGAAATGTTAAGTGCACCTAAAAACATCATTCCCGCCCTGGCCGGTTGCTCAGTGGTTAGAGAGTCGGCCTGTGGTCTCAAAAGACCCGGGTTTGGTTCCCGCTAAGGGCATGTACCTCAGTTGTAGTTTGTCCCCGGCCCTGGTTGGGTTGTGCGGGTGGCAACTACTCGATGTGTCCCTTTCATGTCGATGTTTTTCTCTCTCTCTCTCTCCCTCCCACTCTATCTGAACAAAATATCCAAAAAAATGTCCTCAGGTGAGGATAAAAAGAAAAACAAAACAAAACATCATTCTTTCTGGTAAGCAAAGTAGTCCAATCATATTTGGGCCTAGGGAGGTGTTTGACAGACCCTCAGTAAGGCTGAAGTGATTAAACCATGATAGAGGGAGGGAAGGGCTAGTGCCGCCGGCAGAACTGCACCCTGGATAGTGACTAATTTCCCCAGGATGATTTTCTTGGTATTGGATGCAGCTCAATTTATTTGCAAAGTGGTTCCCTAGGTTACATGGTGTACTTGGGACCTATAGGAGACAAAACACAAACATACCCACGCCCCCAAGCCAGTAACTCTGCAGCAGCTTGCCATTCAGGCCCCTGCTGTGGATCTCTGCACCGGACTAAAGGCTTGGGCCCTGTGGTGGAAGGTTTTTGTTGAAAATGTCGCTCCACAGCTGTAGTGCCAGAGCGATCTTGATTTTAAAAATTAAGGCTATAGGTTGCCAGAGAAAGTTGATTTATTGGGGGTTCACTCATATTCCCCTTTTTTGTTTTGTAATTAATAATTTTTTTAAATCCTCACCAGAGGATATTTTTACATTTGTCTTCAGACAGAGTGGGAGGGAGAGAGAGAGAAACATCAATGTGAGAAAGAAACATCGATTGGTTGGCACCTGCACGACCTCAACCGGGGCCGGGGACGAACCACAACTGAGGTGCATACCCTTAGCCGGAATCGAACCCGGGACTCTTTGGTCCACAGGCCGATGCTCTAACCGCTGAGCCAAACCAGCTAGGGCTGTAATTAATTTTAAAGTAGCATGAGCACGTTCAACAATAGCTTGCCCTGTAAGGTTATAGGGAATGCCAGTTTTATGCCCCAATGCTCCACTGTTGGAAAAATAATTTAATGCTTTGAGATGTATGGGCTGGCCCATTATCTGTTTTAATTTCTAGTGGCATGGCCATATGTACAAAATAGGACAGCCAGTGATGCTTAACTTCTTTGGCTTTTTCCCTGGTAGTGGTGTTTGCATGCAGAAAATTGGGATGGATATCTATAGTAACATGTACCTGCTGAAATCTACCAAATGATGGAATATGTGTTACATCTGTTTGCTATAAGGTATTAGGGGTTAAACACTGAGGATTGACTCCTACTAATGTTGGAGTCCCTCCCAAAAGTTGGCAACCTGGGCAAGCCTTAATATATATATTTTTAATCCTCACCCGAGGACATTTTTCCATTTTTTTGTTCAGATAGAGTGGGAGGGAGAGAGAGGAAGAGCGAGAGAGAAACATGGACGTGAAAGGGACACATCGAGTGGCTGCCACCCGCACGACCCAACCAGGGCCGGGACAAACTGCAACCGCAGGCCAATGCTCTAACCGCTGAACCAAACCGCCCAGGGCTTGTGTTCTTTTTCTATGTTTGGCTATTTGATTTGCTAACTATGCAATAAATGGAGTTATTGTTTTAGAGGTACCTGGGAGAAAGATCCATTCAAGATATTTTACTTCAGGAGTTCATTGTCCTATTAATTCTGTAGGATATGGCACAGTTGGATATACAAATAGCCAAATAGGGTCCTTTAATAACCAACGATGAGCTTGTTGGGTTTGTATTTGAGTAGTTACTTCTCTAAGTTCTTGTCGTGCCTCTATAGATAGCTTTATAGGTGAATTTAGTGCTGAATCACCCTTGAGAGTATTAAATAAATTAGTTAACTGCTGAATAGTAATACCAAGCATAGGTTGAAGCCAATTTATGGCTCCTAATAATTTTTGCAATTCACTTAAAGTTGTTACTTTTACTAGAATGGTAAATTTCTGGGGGCGAATAGTTCTTGCCCCTAATAGCCACCCTAAGTATTGCCAAGGTTCTAATGGCTGTACCTTTGTTGTAATGTGTCAGCGAGATAACCAGAGACTCACAGCCGAATTGTCAAGGGGCACTTTATTACACTGTCGGGCTGGGGGGATCTCCAGAATCCCAGCCCCGAGCTTCCTTTGTTCTTTGCTTATGGAACAAAAAAAACTACATTCAAAGAAAAAAACCTACATTCATCCTGGTTCTGCTTAATTGGTGTTGGGACTGATACAGACTTCTCCAGAGGAGAAGCGGGGGTCGGTTGCAGGGTTCAGGGCAATCATTAATCTCTTTCTTTTTTATGGTCCCTTCAAGTTTCCCAAGGCCATCATTAACCCCTTATCTTTATGGTTCTTCTGGGTGCCGGTCCCAGGTTTTTAGAAAACTGCTCAGGTGTTTATGTGCAGGAATAACTGATCAGAATGGAGTTTTTTTTTTTTTTTTTTTTCTTTATTGATTTTAGAGAGAGAGGAAGGGAGAGGGAGAGAGAGATAGAAACATCGATGAGAGAGAACATCGAATGGCCACCTCCTGCATGCCCCCCACTGGGGTTGGGCCCACAACCTGGGCATATGCCCT